AATAAGCTCTGCTACCCGAATTTTCCCTTAATTTTTTACTAAATCAAAATAGGCTCTTCAATTAATTCTAACTAGCGAATAACTCAGAATAAGCTCTCCTAATTTAACCCACTAGTCGCATTAAGATCTAGGAAAATAGACCGATCTAAGCCACAAACACATAAGCTCGGTTCATGTAACTTATGTTGTGTTATCCCTAACAATGCACGACTGTTAGTTGCTACAATTGAATTAAGAACAACGACAATTACAAATCGAAGTTTCAACTCTAGCAATTAGCATGCAATTCCTAACTTAGGTGATCAAGTTAAATTAAAAATCACACATTATGCTATGAAACTAGAATAACACAAACAATTTTATACGACGAGTAAAACGAAATAAACTGCATCAATCGAACACAGTCATTGAAGGTTCAACGTCCCTAAAACCGAAATAGTGTTTAGCTACACATAGCTAAATAATCAAAATAAAAATAAAAATTCATGTTACTTCAATCAAAATAAGAAAAACAAATAAAATAAAATAGCAAACTCCTTTTGATTAGAGCATCCATGGCTAATCCCCAGCAAGCCCGTTTTGCTCTCTGTTCCGGTACTCAAAGTTTAGCAGATGAATTATTTTCCTTTACTTTTGATCCCCGACTCTAACCAAATTGGAATTCTTTATCCCCAGTCAAGTAAAAATGAGTCCATCAATATGACAATTCCTCCCATTTAATTCCTTCAGACCAAGTCACCCAAAAGAGAATTAAGAGTCCCACAAAATTAAATCTCTCTTTCCAAATCTCGCAAGTGCATTTTCCAGGGAATTAATTCCCTTAACTCTCGTATAAGTCCACCAATTCGGCAAAATTCTTAATTATCTCCTACTCCATTAACATTGTCACGTCCAGTCATCAATTTCCAGCCACGTCATCTCCTACTTAGCTGCCACATCATTAATATGCGTAAAAACTGCAAAATAAATATAAATTCCGAATATTGGTGTATGTCCGTTCACAAAATAAAATACGTGAGAAACCTTGAATAATACACTTAACTCAATACTCAAATACGCAAATTAGCTCACAAAATAATACAAAATTTCTCACATATCAGTCACACGATATTTTGTAAAAGAGGAACGTCGTTCGTATTATCCGACGTCTTTAGCATCATCTTTAGCCTCATTATGGCTGATTTGTTCATAATTCGGTTTTACCTGAATAATCCATGAATTACCAAGTCGGTGGTCAACAAATATATTTTTGAAAAAAAATCTTACACAAAGTAGTAACCATGTAAAAGAAACGGAATAAAAAGCGGTAATTCCACATATTTGTAACTGATAAGCATATAGCGACGACACTTTATATCATAGTTTTTAAACCCGGCCCGGTGATCGACCCGGGCAGGTCCTCGGGTCACCGGTTCAACCGTCGGGTCACCGGGTCAATTGCTGAACCGGATAATTAATTTAAAAATTTTTAAAATTATATATAAAGTATTTTTGTTATATAAATATACATAAAAGTAACAAATTAAATGTTTTGTGTATAAAATTTGTATATTAAAGTGTTAATAATATGTATTTCATGATAAATATTTACCATATAAACATATATACATATTTTTATTTTTAAAAAACAAAAAAAAAAATAAAAAATATATATGGACCGGGTCAACCGGGTTGACCCGGGCGGGTCAATACCCCGGGTCGGCCGGGTCTCTGCCGGGTCGGCCGGATTTTGACCGGGTTTGACCGGGTCCTTGGTTGCCCGGTCCAAATACTCCACCCGGACCGGTTCCGGTTCCGGGTCGACCGGGTCCCGGGTCGACCCACCGGGCCGGTCTGGGTCTCAAAACACTGATTTATATACATGTTTTAGAGATTGGGCCAACGTAAATATAAGTCCATTTATAATCTAAGCACGCCCAACGGCCCAATTACGTGAAATAATTTCTGTAGCTGGTTGCATTAAAGGCACTCTCGCAGATTAGGCTGTTTACAAAAAAAATAAAATAATAATAATAATAATAATAATAATAATAATAATAATATAACAATAATAATTACTATAATATTAATAATAATAACTGATAGGACTGCAATTAAGTTCAGCTTTAAATTTGACATGGAACTAAAAAAGTGCGTTTAATTTATATTATTTATAATAATATAAAATTATGATTGGTCAACATGTGGAGAAAAATATAATTAATGTTCTAATCTGATATATTCCAACAACTTCCGGCTGATTATTAAGGTTGGTAAGATAACGATTTTGGTGGAAACATCACGAGACGTGATGCGTGGAAAATACAAGAAATTTGGAAATCAACACAAAAATAAAGAAACATAATCGATTATGTGTCTAGTCACATGATGACATGGACATACTATATTATAAATATAGAGTAATAATTTAGATGGATTTATTTGTCATAATATACTAATGAAATATTTATGTTTTCAGATGTTACTTTTATTTATATTGTTCGTGAAAATATGATTTCTTTTTTAAGTATGCATATATATTGTAAAAGTATTGAGTATTCAATCGTTAAGACATATCTAATAATACTCTTATTCTTGTTGTAATTTGATACGAGGCATAATATCACAAGAGTCTTTATGTTTTTTTAATATATTTGGGTTCTTCAATATTTGGAAATGCTCAACTACACTTGGTGGACACGTTTGTAAGATGTGCAAATCAACCAATTTTTCTTTGTGGTTTTTCAATATTAGACAATGATCAACTACCAATTGTACGTAATCACATATGATATGTTCATCAGTCACATGTTCAGATATATTTATATATATTTTTTTTTCTTTCTAATCACTAATTCATCGTGTATTTGTCACGTAAGATGATAGACCTATTAAGTTGGTCTATGGTGTACGAAACGAGTCGAACTGAGTCGAGCTCGAGATCTTAATGAGTTGAGTTTGGCTCGGCTCGTTAACTTAATGAACTCATAATTTAGCTCGAATTCTTATCGTTTATCAATATTAACGAGTTGAGCTCGAGCCAAAATCGAACCGAATTATAAAAAAAATACATAAAAAATACCTTTTCGAGCTTTATTGAGACGAGTTGAGCTCGGCTCGTTAACTGAACGAGCTTTATATGAGCTTCTAAACGAGTCGAGTTGAGCCGAGCTCCTGAGCGACTCATTTAAATTAACAAATCTAAGTGGGACTACCTCAAAATATATTTTTTTATTTTTTTCTCATAAACTTAATTAATTTCGTCCTCTAATTGCATTATAAATTTAATTTTCTTATATATATTTTATTTCTTATTTTTCTTTTTTGGCCTTGTAAAATACAGAACGTAATTAACGTACAACACAAATTACACTTATTTTAACTTTCATCGAATATTTTATGAAATTATAGTTTCCGGTTATTGTTACGTTATATTAAAAAAAATATACATAAATTAGATTTTAAAGTTAAAGTCATTTACATGACCTTGGATTGACTTTTTACTTCGGGTTGAATTTTAGTATCCAGTTAATATTTCATAAGATCTGTTTCGTTTCAATATGACCCCACTCGAAAATATATATTGGCCAATGGACCATGAATAATAATTAATAATTTCATATCTCTTAAATCCCAAACAAATAAATTTTATCTCTCAAGTCATAAATTAATAACTGACATACTTTTTGAATAATAAAACCAAATTCCTCCAATTCCTAAATGGATATAATTTATCATCTACGCGGATATGTGTTCATAAAACGTGGCCCTTCTTTGGACACATAGCCACATAGGCAAGAAAGAAAGAAAAAAAAAAGTAAAACAATTAAATTTATTGCAGTTTATCTTTATTTATTTATTTATTTATTATATATTTCAATGTAGTAATAATTACTACTTTCCACATTTGTATACTGTATTTATAATTTGGGCGGAAAAAGGACGATCATTCATATAGCTCACTACGTACAAATGTTTGGTACCAAAAATTTAATTCTTTCCCTNAAAAAACAAATAATTTTTTTTCTTATTATTATGTTACCAATTTTTTTTTTCAAATACTACCTACAAGTTATAAAATAACCTTGATATTTTTTAATCAACTTACCTAGATATTTGTGTGCTTAAACGATCATATATATATCTTATGGCATTTCATATTAATATAATACTTACTGATTGGTAAAACAATTATTTTTCGTATCAAATTGTTATATTCCAATAAGAATTTATTGATAGATTGAATTTTATTTATAAAGGTAGATGTAATCATTTTTACTTTATAACTATTTGAATATTTATTTGAGAACTCTTTTTTTTTTTAAAAAAAAAATGACACCTTCCAAACCGAAGGCACTTGTTATATATTCAATTTCAAATTATTATTGTGCACAAGTAAATTACTCTACGAGGTGTTATATCGACTACGCAGTCAATATAACGGTGCGGACGAGTTTCACTGCCCTCAAACCTCAATTGATATAGCGACAAAAACTCGTCCTCACCGTTAGATATAATTTTTCTTCAATTGTTATGTATAGATATACACATTAAATAATTACTAAAAAAACAAAATAAATGATCAAAGTACAACTTATTAAAAAAATAAAATAAATGATCAAAGTACAGTTTGGCTTAGTCTCTTAGCCCAATCTATATATAATGGCGAGGCTCCAAGCTAGAGCAACATGTACAAAAGGAAAAAAAAACCAAAAAAATAGGCTAATTAATTGAATGTTTTGCATAGGAATTCAACTACTTGCGATTTGGGACACTCCCTTCACAAAACATACAATAAAATCAATATAACAATTCTAATATGAAATCTATAATAAAATAGTCAACCACATAACATTTTCATTTTCCAACCATGACCATATACCTCTTCATTTCCTTTTTAACCCTTTTTCTCTCCTTATAACATAACTAGCTCCTCACAAACATTGAACCATACAATATTATTCCAATTCTCTCTCTCTCTCTCTTTGGATATATATATATATATATATATATATATAAATATGGGTGTCGATCAACGTTTTGCGCCGATATCAAAGTGCAGCACGAACAGCCGATCAACCCAGACAGTGGCGGCCGACCTAGACGGCACACTCTTGCTCTCGACAAGCGCTTTCCCCTATTACTTGCTCGTCGCCTTAGAAGCCGGTAGCCTCATTCGTGCAGTTCTTCTATTAACGTTCGTCCCGATAATCTACTTTCTTTACCTATTCGTCTCGAAAGCTCTCGGGATACAAACCCTAATCTTCATCGCCTTCTCGGGCCTCAAAATCCGTGAAATCAAGCTCGCGGCCCGGTCTGTTCTGCCACGGTTTTACGCGGAGGACGTGAATCCCGACACATGGCGCGTTTTCAACTCGTTCGGTAGGAAGTGCGTGGTGACCGCGAGCCCTAGGATCATGGTGGAGCATTTTTGTGAGAAGTATTTGGGCGCGGATAGGGTGCTCGGGACTGAGCTGGAGGAGACGGGCTCGGGCCGGGCCACGGGCTTCGTGAGGAAACCGGGCGTGCTCGTCGGGCCCAACAAGAGGATGGAGGTCGTGAGGGAATTCGGGCCAAGTTTGCCCGATTTGGGCCTAGGGGATCGGGAGACGGATCATGAGTTCATGTCCATATGCAAGGTAAGTTGAGCTAATTATAACTAGATAGTTTATGTTGAAGGAGCTTTGTATGTTCAAGCAAGCATTAGAATCATATGAAATTCTCCACATGCATATTTGATGCTAGTATGGTGGTTGAGAGCTTAAACTCAAATAGTTTTTTTTTGGTTTAATTTCTCTTTAAAGTGATTGTTAATATGAATATAATTCTCATTGACCATAATTAATCACGATTTGTCATGCAAAAATTGTTAAGAGGTTTAATAATCTAATAATATGAAATCCAGTATCTATAGGGTCCCATTAATGTATTCTTTAGGAGGAAAGAGATGAAATAATGATCTTTTTATTCAAGACAAAAAATAGTAATAATTCTTTCAATTGTTTGATAAAACTTTTCACTTTTTATTTAGATTTTAACACTATGTTATGTAGGAATTGCGCAATTTGGTAATCATTATTGTTTTGGGACATAACTAAAAAAGAAAAGAAAAAATCTAAACCAAACTTTTGTTGAATTAAAATTAATTAATTATAACAGGCGGATTAAGAACGAGTTTCAACACGTATACGTATTAAGAATTTGTAAATAGAAACCACAAACATCAACCACGGGAACGTGAGATGAAACCAGATTTCTATTAGTAAATAAATAAATTTATTATAAAAATAAAAACTTAACTGACAGTTCTATATTGTCATAGAACACATATAGCCGAATCACAGAAAATCTGTTTGCCTTGAAGAAACAGACGCCCCGATACTGTGCAACGAGTACTACGCCTTTTCTCCCAGGATAAGACGGCTCAAAGTGTGAAGACTGCACTATCTAACACACTCACCTCGATCAAAATCTCAGTCGCCAAGAACCCTTAATGTTTTTAAGTATTTGGAGGATAAAAGAGAATATATGTATATGTTCTTTTTCTTTTCCTTCACTTGGTGTATTCTTCCCTTAAGCATGCATGCACTATTTATAGTGCTCATGTGCTTGCATTCATTCAATGAAGAGGTGTTCCATTAATGCCTTCATTAAGACAAAACTAATGAAACTATTAATGAAACTTTGAGTTTCATTCTCACATCTCAAAACCGAACACGGTTGTTTTCCTCACATTGAATTTGGACATATCCACATGTAACATTAAACACACCATCTAAGGATTCTCACATACATACAATTTCTCATTTTTCATGTAACTTTTATTACAACAATCCCCCACAAATCCTTAGATAATAATTATCAGGGTCACCATAAATTGCTTTCAGTCATGGTACCTTCCGGTTTGAACCACCACCTAAGTTATCCAACTTTTGTCATCACCGAAATGAATGGATCTAAGCCTTGAATTCATGTCGTGAGTGTAATGACGTTCATTAGTAACAACAACTTATAGGCTATGTTTTGATCTTTAGGGTTGACACATTAAGGCCATATGTCACGATCCTGTATCATGAGTATCTTGAAGGAAATAACCCTTTCCCCTAGTCGCGGCCAAACAACTATACTCATTTAGTTGGGCATCTCCAAAGATGCACTGCTTACATCTTGTTTAGAAAACTCGACCCCATTCAGAGATAAACTCTTACTATACTTGCAGTTAACAGCACCTTCCAGGTATTCTAGGGAAAGAACTCATCATACTTTATATATAAAGTATCAGTCTTGTAATTTTAGGTGCACAATGATACATTCAACAGCTTGTTTATACCACATTGAACCTTCCTTGCGGGATCTCCACTTGGAAGGTTGGGTTGCTACTGCAGATGTATCTCTTATGGGTTATTCAGTCCCATCCCTAACCTGGACTTTTGGACTAAGGATAGATCAAGTCCTTTAGTCAAAGGATCAGCCAAGTTGTCTTTAGAATTAACAAAGTCAACGGCCATAACCTTATCAGACACTAATTCCCTTATAGACTTTAGTCTAACTTGGATGTGTCTCTTTGTTTTCTGATTGAACTTTTGACTTCTTATTTTTGCAATTGTGGTTTGACTATCACAATGCACAGGTATCGGAGGTAAAGGCTTACTTACAATGGGTAGTTGCATCAACAACCCATACAACCATTCCGACTCCATTCCAGTCGTGTCCAATGCACATAACTCAGCCTCAAAAGTAGACCGTGTTACCAAAGTCTGTTTGGTAGACTTCCAGGAGACAGCGCCCCCACCCAAGGTAAACACATACCCTGTACATCCGTTAGTTCCAGAATTTTTAGCTATCCAGCTAGCATCACTATATCCCTCAAGTACACCAGGGAACTTGCTATAGTGTATAGCCAGTGATATTGTGCCTTTAAGATACCGAAGTACCCTATCCAAGGCTTCCCAATGAGTTCTATTAGGACAACTTGTATATCTAGCTAGCTTTGACACAGAAAATGAAATATCTGGTCTCGTGCCATTAGCTAAATATTGCAAGCTTCCAATAATTTGAGAATATCTCAATTGAGCCACAGAAACACCACTTTCATTTTTGAAAAGAGCCACAGATGGATCATATGGAGTTTTAGCAATTCTACAATCTTTATAACCATATTTCTCAATTATTTTCTCAACATAATGAGATTGAGAAATGGCTATCCCTTTAGTTGAACGAATCAACTTAAGGCCAAGAATTACATTTGCCTCTCCCATATCCTTCATTTCAAATTTACTCTTTAGAAATGATTTAGTCTCTGCAATTATTTCATAAGCAGATCCTATTAACAGAATATCATCTACGTATAGACATAAGATTATACAATTATCACCTTTAACCTTAAAGTATATGCACTTATCATTATCATTTATCACAAAGCCGAATGATAAAATAGTTTTATCAAACTTTTCATGCCATTGTTTAGGAGCTTGTTTCAAACCATAAAGAGATTTAACAAGCTTGCAGACTTTATGCTCGCTACCGGGAGCTATAAATCCCTCAGGCTGATCCATGTATATTTCTTCATCAAGATCTCCATGTAAAAAAGCAGTTTTTACATCCATCTGATGAATATGAAGGTTATACACAGAAGCCAAGGCTATGAGCACACGAATGGTAGTTAAACGAGCAACAGGTGAATAGGTATCAAAATAATTTATTCCCTCTTTCTGTTTAAATCCTTTGGCAACCAATCTGGCCTTAAACTTATCAACGGTTCCATCAAAATTAAATTTCTTTTTGAAAATCCATTTACAACCAATTGTATTACACCCCGGAGGTAGTTCAACTAACTCCCATGTTCCATTAGAGACAATAGAGTCAATCTCACTTTTGATAGCTACTTTCCAATGCTTAGCTTCTGATGAAGTCATGGCATCTTTGAAAGTTATTGGCTCGTCCTCGATATTGTAAGTGATAAAATCACTTCCAAAATCCTTAACGATCTTAGCTCGTTTGCTCCGTCTAGGTTTATCCAATTCTGTTTGTAAAGAATCCAAACTACTTGGATCAACCCCCACATTTGTCATCTTTTCCACATGTTCAGGAATTGATGATGATGTAAGGGCTGCATCCAAGACATCATTTTGGGGTATTCCCGTTTTCATCGAAAAAACATTCTCAAAGAATGTAGCATCACGGAGTTCAACAATTGTGTTTACATCTATGCCAACAATTTCTGATTTAACAACCAAAAATCTAAGAGCATAGCTAGTTTCCACATAGCCCAAAAAGACCGCATCAATAGTTTTAGGTCCTAACTTTTTCCTTTTGTGCTCAGGCACTAGAACTTTTGCAAGATAGCCCCACACACGAAAGTACTTTAAGCTAGGTTTTCGACCTTTCCATGATTCAAATGGAGTTACTTCATTGTGTTTCAGAGGGACTCTATTCAGAATATGGCAAGCCGTATTCAAAGCCTCTCCCCACATGTATTTAGGTAGTCCAGAATTCAACAAAAGACTATTGATCATATCTTTAAATGTTCTATTTTTCCGTTCTGCAACCCCATTAGACTGAGGAGAATATGGAGGAGTTTCTTCATGAATTATGCCAGAATTTCGACAATATTCACCAAAGGGGTTAGATTCATATTCTCCACCTCTGTCTGATCTTAACCTTTTAAGTTTCTTACCAGTTTGTGTTTCAGCTTCATTTTTAAAGATAATAAATTTTTCAAGTGCTTCATCCTTATGTTTAATCAGATAAACATAACAATACTTACTATAATCATCTATAAAAGTGATAAAGTATCTTTTAAGGTCTTTAGTCACAATTCCATTGAACTCACAAATATCAGTGTGTACTAAATCAAGTAATTCAGAATGCCTTTCTATCGAGTGATAAGGCTTTCTTACTTGTTTTGCTTCAACACATACTTGACATTTGTGATTATGTTCAACATCGTGTTTTGGAATTAAATTAAGATTCATCATTCTCTTAATAGAACCATAATTTAAATGACCCAAACGTTTATGCCATACAGAAGAACTTTCTGTAACATTCATAACAATAGAATCTGCAAAATCAAATTTATTACCAGAACCAGCATATTCAACACGAATTTTAAATAGACCATCAGACAAATAGCCCTTGCCAATAAATAAATTATAATGTTGGATTACAACTTTATTTAATTTAAATGAAAGCTCATAACCTTCTTGGACCAACATAGAACCACTAATAATATTTCTTCGTATTGTTGGGACATGGTGCACCCTTTGCAAAGATAAAATGCGCCCTGAAGGAAATTTCAAGTCCACACATCCTATCCCAAGCACCTTGGCTGCACTTGAGTTTCCCATCGCTACGGATTTTCCATTAATTGGCTGATAAGACACAAAAAGCAATTTATCAGCACAAATGTGCACATTTGCTCCAGTATCTATTAACCAATCAAACGGTTCATAGACATTCAAAAGCTCAGGTTGTAAAGAAACAAACCCGTCAATAGTTGTCTCTGGAGCGCTAGCATTGCTAGGTTCCCCAACAACCATATTCGCCACAGGTTGTTCAGCTAGTCCAGGTTTGACCTTAGCTTTCTTCGTCGGACAATCTTTAATCCAATGTCCAACCTGTCCACAGTTCCAACATGGTTTGTTTGCTTTGGGTTTCTTATTTTTAGCCTTGGCCTTGTCTTTATTTGCCATTTTGACATTTGCATGGTTCACTTTTCTTTTTCCCATTATCATATTAGCCTTGGGTTCAAATGGCATATTATGAACTTCTTTTCGATGTTCTTCTTCTATGTTGATTGATATCATTAAATCATCCAAGGTCAATTTCCCTTTTTGATGCTTCAATGACATTCCAAAACTTTCCCAAGACTTTGGAAATTTATCAATAATTGACATAACCAAAAATTTTTCAGGGAGTTTCATATCAGCATCAGCGAGGGAATGTTCCAAGTTGATCAATTCATGTGTCTGCTCAGATACAGACTTTCCTTCAGCCATCTGATATTTTAGGAACTTAGAAACAGAATACTTTTCGAGACCTTGCTCTTCAGTATTATATTTCTTGTCCAACTCATCCCACAACGACTTTGCAGTGTACGAATCAGAACAATAAACATCAAAGAGCGTATTTGACAAAGCTGACAAAATAGCTCCTCGACCAATTTGATCTCTTTCGTTCCACTGAGCAATTTCAGCTGTTTTGGGATCATTATCAGTTGGTTCAGGCCTAGCCACCTGAATTATCGTCAAAAGTCCTTTCATCGTAAGCCAAATTTTCATTCGTTGTTGCCAACGTTTGAAAAATTGCCCCGAAAATTTTTCCGGTAAGCCGGATAAATCGACTTTTGAATTCAACATAGCATTAATTGATATGGTGCCAGAACCACTTGACATAATGATAAATTGAGAAAAAAAATAGTAAAACAAATACGTATAACACTTTTTGAAAATTCTCGTTTTAATAACAAAATCTGTTTCTTCAAGATTGTTGAATTAAAATTAATTAATTATAACAGGCGGATTAAGAACGAGTTTCAACACGTATACGTATTAAGAATTTGTAAATAGAAACCACAAACATCAACCACGGGAACGTGAGATGAAACCAGATTTCTATTAGTAAATAAATAAATTTATTATAAAAATAAAAACTTAACTGACAGTTCTATATTGTCATAGAACACATATAGCCGAATCACAGAAAATCTGTTTGCCTTGAAGAAACAGACGCCCCGATACTGTGCAACGAGTACTACGCCTTTTCTCCCAGGATAAGACGGCTCAAAGTGTGAAGACTGCACTATCTAACACACTCACCTCGATCAAAATCTCAGTCGCCAAGAACCCTTAATGTTTCTAAGTATTTGGAGGATAAAAGAGAATATATGTATATGTTCTTTTTCTTTTCCTTCACTTGGTGTATTCTTCCCTTAAGCATGCATGCACTATTTATAGTGCTCATGTGCTTGCATTCATTCAATGAAGAGGTGTTCCATTAATGCCTTCATTAAGACAAAACTAATGAAACTATTAATGAAACTTTGAGTTTCATTCTCACATCTCAAAACCGAACACGGTTGTTTTCCTCACATTGAATTTGGACATTTCCACATGTAACATTAAACACACCATCTAAGGATTCTCACATACATACAATTTCTCATTTTTCATGTAACTTTTATTACAACAACTTTCTCACCCTTTCCACATCTATGTATACTAGAAAGTTAATGGCAAACACGTATACAAACATATAATCAATGAAACAGGGGAAACATAAATATATTTATGTTCCATCGCCATCGCCAGCTATGAATTGAAATTAGTACTGTTTAGATTTGAGTAAATAGTTTTAACTTAGAGGACACATAGTAAAACTGTAAAAGGGCTAACATGTCACATAATTGCCACGACACGATAAAAAAAACACAAAATAAAATATTTGTGTAGATATATATTAATAGTATACTTATAAACAAATAAAATAAGTAACACGATAACAAGTAATTGATACAATATGATAACACGATTTTTCTACACATCATGAATTAAAACAGCCATCAATAGAAACATTTTTAGAGGTCTTGGGCCAACCTAGTGATCTGAAACTGAAAGTGTTAAATTGTTATTATACATAAAGTACATAATACTAATATTTATGGTAGCAGCTGGAAATGATTTTTTTATTGAATTTGATTTATTGAACAGAGTAAAATACAATTGAAAGTAATAAGTGGAAATTTGGATCTAATTTAAGTTTATAGTAATGAGTACAGTTGGTGTGATATAAAATAGTAAAATAATGATTGTAAATGATTGATAGTTAAAAATATGTGGTGAAGAAATAGTAATTTTAGTATAAAGTGTGTGGTAATAATTGAATTCTATTATTAAAGTATATTAATAATATTGCCAAGTGTCAATTTGAATAAAATTTGAGTTAGATTTTGTGTTAAAAATTTGTCTCCGTCAAAACAATAAAATATCTGGAAGATACAATCAATTTTATTTTTAATCCTACTTATATAGCATTATTAATTATAAAACGAGTACATCCTATTTTTTTTTTTATTAATTTTTCTTAAATTACTGCAGGAGGCATATATGGTGCCTCGTACAAAAACGGCACCACTACCGAGGAACGAGCTCTTGTCCCCTATAATATTCCACGAGGGCCGCTTAGTACAAAGACCCACACCTTTAATTGCTCTCATGACCTTCCTATGGATGCCACTTGGCATTATCTTGTCCATCCTACGTGTCTACCTCAATATCCCCATCCCCGTAAGTATCGTACGCTACACGTACGCTGCCATCGGAATCAAGGTTATCGTCCGAGGCACCCCTCCTCCGCCTCCCAAATCCCGAAGCGGAGTTTTGTTTGTGTGCAACCACCGCACGATTCTCGACCCGATCCTCATTTCAGTTGCGCTCGGCCGAAAAATCAGCTGCGTGACTTATAGCATAAGCAGGTTCTCGGAGCTGATATCCCCGATCAAGACGCTTGCCTTGTCCCGGGAGAGGGAGAAAGACGCGGCCGAAATCCGGCGCCTGTTGACGGAGGGCGATTTGGTCATTTGCCCTGAGGGGACCACGTGCCGAGAGCCGTTTCTGCTGAGGTTCAGCGCGCTTTTCGCGGAGCTGAGCGACAGGATTGTGCCGGTGGCGATCGAGGTGAGGCAGGGGATGTTTTACGGGACGACGACCCGCGGGCACAAGTTCCTCGACCCGTATTTCGTGTTCATGAACCCGAGGCCCACGTACGAGATCACGTTTCTGGACCAGGTGCCGACTGAGATGTCGGTCAAAGGGGGGAAATCGCCCATCGAGGTCGCGAATTATATACAGAGGGCAATGGCCGAGACTCTAGGGTTCGAGTGCACGAATCTGACGAGGAAGAATAAGTACGCGATGATGGCGGGGACTGACGGGGGGGTCGAATCGAGGAAGGAGAATGGGTGTGAGGAGAAAAAGGGAATTTGAATAATTTTTTATTTTTTATATATTTGGCAAGAAAATGTTTGCAATAGAACTTATGGTTTGTAGTGTTAATGACAATGATGTTGATGGGGGCCTTGATGAATATGTATATTTGGAAAATAATTTATTAGGGGAAGTGTACTATCAACTATGGTTATAGTGAATAATGTAAGATTGTTTCAACTCAAGCATCTAGCATATCTTTGAATGCTCTCCACATGCTTCATGTTGGTGATAGGTTGTCTAATAGTTATAAAATCATACATTTCTTTTCCCAAAAAAAAAAAATATATAAATATAAGTATAATATTTTATAGTATATATCTATTTTTTTATTAAGAAAGTATGATTATGTAACCATTACATAAAAAAACATAACTTATGCTTTGCAAATATGTTTTGTACCCCATAATGAGTGGAGAATTAGGTCGGCTTTTATTTATTAACTTGATAAATTCGATCTTATCTACCCTTATCAAGTTTTTTTACATTAGATCAACATACTTCCATGTGTGTGTGAATATGTGTAATCCAATAGTAAAAAGCTCGGTCAGAATAGTCACCGATAGGGTGGAACTTGGCCTTTCACTCTCACTTAGAAGAGGTGGCCTCCATGAGTGTGCCTTTTCTATATATTTATACCTATTAAGTGTCATATACGAAGTAATAAATCCTTGTGGTCACCAAATTATTTTATCTTCAAATGGGTTATGGGGACAGCTTGAATGGCAAAACTAAATGGGGTGGCCTCTAATGAAATAATATGTTGATACAGCCCAATTTATTAATTTATGCTGCTCTATATATGGGTTTTCTTATTTTGACATATTATTTCTTCTCATAAAAATGTTTTAATACCACATGGGGGAAATTAGGAAGTAGATAGCTCATTGCAAATAATAAAAATACCCAATTGCTTATAAGTATAGGTTAAAGAAATGATTTTTTTATAGAGCTGTTAAACGAAACGGGCTTATGTAATTTCTTCCTGAATGTTTAGCATACTTAACTCGTTAAAGCTCGTTAACTAGCCAAAGTTCAAACTCTTTTAGGTTTGTTAATGTAACTGTGCTGAGACAAGCCCTACTTAATAAACACTCGAGACCAAACTTGAGTATTACAAGTTTGAGCTCAATTTCGAGCTTGACTCATCACGTTTAGAGCTCTAACGATTTGGAGTAAATCTCTATAACATTATCATATGGACAAAAATATTGAAGATTGTCTTGGCAAATGAGTTATTTGGGAATTTGAGGGACCGTTCATTAATTAACTACTATCAATCAGAAATGTCAATTTATATATGGAAACTAATTTAGAGCTTATTGGTGTTGGCCATGTGTTGTGCCAGCTAAAATTCATTAACTCTTTGCTGTAAATATTAAATTCTGAACATATGTTTTCTGAATAAGTCAGGTTCTGTGAACCATAGTACATGAGAATTGGACCAGATGTGCCTGCTAAATTATTATTATTTTATTCTATTCACATATTCTTTTCTATGGATGTAAAAATTAAATAAGAAAAATATAAAGGAATTTGACATAAATATTCTATTTAAAGTATATTATTATTTTTAGACAATCGAACTAGTAATGTCATATGTTCAGTTTATGATGCGTAACACATNTATTAAATAAAAAGTGGGTGGTGTCTTCAAAGATTGGGCCCTAACTTAATTAATAAATTGGGCTGTATCGACATATATAGGGCGCCTAAAATAGCCCATTGGGCACAAGATACTGAAAATTCAAAATAAAACTCATGGAGACAAATTACATGGCTGGCTGGCAATAATCTTGTGTCCTCTAGATAAAGACCAATTATTATAGAAATATCAATTTGTGTAGAATCTAATACATCAAATTTAATAGTAACTAGTGATTCATAGAGGTGTAAATGAGTAGAGTTGAGTCGAATCGAGCTCAGTTCAACTCTATTCAAGTTCGGGCTTTAGCTTTATGGAGTCGAGCTCGTTAAGTTAATGAGCTAATAAACGAACTCGAGCTTGGGTCGTTTAGCGATATTGAAGAGCCGAGCCCAAGTCTTAATGACATGACTAATAAAAAAATACATAAAAAATTCTAGTTTTAAACCGAGCCGAGGTGAGCCGAGATTACGACCAGCTTGTTTTGTTTAATAATTCTAGAGTTATTATAATGTATGAGCTAAAATAGGAGAATGTAACAGTTAGATTTAAAAAGGTCTCAAGATCTGTGTCAATGCATAAGAGAGATTTGTTGTCTGGTTCATCATTGATTGAAAATGCAATATCATGTTTACCTTGAATCTATCCATTCAAAACAATTATTTATTTATTTATTTATTTATTCATTCATTCATTAACTGTACAAAAAATGCCAGAGTTCCATGAGCTGCTCAGTGCTCAGTTTTCTCTTTTCAGCTGCCAAAAAATTATCATACAAATTACAATCACAAAGCTCATCCCATCATCCAAAATATCACACAAATTTCAAAATAAATCAACAGAAAAACATAAAAACCAAAACAATTAAAAATAAAAAATTGCAACTCACAACAAAAACTCACCAAGCTCTCAAGTCTCAACCACAACAAGAGCAAGAAACACCTTCTCCATTCCCATCCGAAGGCAAACTCGACGAGCCCTCGACTTCCGCACGCTCGTCTCCCATCTCCCGATCCTTATACCGATAAAACGAAGCCACAAAAGCAAACACGACCAAATTCGCGCTACTCAAACCGGCCAACACCCAATAATACCTATCCAAACGGCTCCTATTCAACGTGTATTGAAACCAATTCTTTCCCCCTCGCCTTTCGCTAACCTTCCCCACCGCATAAACCGAGACAACACCAAAAACGAACCCGAGTCCCGAGACCCCCTTTGTGAAAAGCTCGAGATACCTTCTCATGGACTCGGGCGATTGGTCCTCGTAAAACTTGCCCACGCCTTTCTCTAAAAAAGCATTTAAGCCCGCGAGTAAAAAGAATTGAAAAAGCATCCAAAACACGCTCATCGGGACCTCGTCATCCGGCTTGTCCGCCAAATTATGTTCCCATATTACCCTTATCCTCCGATTCTCGATTCTTGCGGCCGTTACGCAACAAAGGATCGAGAAAACCATGGATATTGCTATCCCAATCGAGGGCGCGTAGCTTTTGGATCGTTTGAGGTAACAGCTGGCGAGCGAGGCGAAAAGGCTCTTGACCCACTCGGAAAGTAGTAGTAGTATCGGGATCGGGACTTTCCACGACCCGAGCTTTCGGTCCATGTGATTGGCTTGCTCGACAAAGTATGTGTTCCCGGTTGACGAAACTATGCCGCACATTATGAATGTGAGCCACATGGGAATCATGCGGACCGCGATTTTCGCATCCTCGACCTCGGAAACCGAGCATAGTCTCCATCGGTTTTCGACTTGGTTCTTGAGGTTTGCGTCAACGGCGGCTTTTTCCAAGCACCTGAGTCGAAAAACTTACGATTATGCCTAAGGCAAAAATACATGTTTAGTCGTGTTGGTTTGACGCTATAACAATAACAATTTTAGTCTGAATGTTCCAACTTTGTGATTTTATATTTTGATGCAATTTAAGTCGTTTGAGAACTTAAATTGCAACAAAATTTTAAATTACAAGACTGAAAACGTAACAAAATTCTAAATCAGAGGACTTGAGTTGCTAGCTAATAAAAAATCCATCACACAGGATATAAATTTGAGAATTTGTTGCAGTTTAAGTCCTCAGGAATGGAATTGCAACAAAATATTAAATCACAAGAACAAAGAAATGTTAGAATCTTGGGACTGAAATTGATATGACTTTAAACCAGCATGACTAAAAATGCAATTTAGCCTAAAATAATCAAATTTTCAAGAACAATGGAACACAAACACACCTGAGAAAACGAGTGCGCGAAAAAGACTGAAGATTTTCGTCGTCTCTTATATACAGATGATCGGAATCAACCGGGACACGCTCGAATTTCTTCAGAAAAACGGCCACGAATACTCGACAGACATTCGTCAACGGACTCCCCTGAGGACTAACCTTGTCGTACGTGCACCAACCAGTCAGAAAGAAGACAGTAGTCAAAGCCGTGCATATAGCCGGGATTCCGAATCGGAGGTCCCACGGTTTTATGTACGGGAGTGCAATTGCCCCGACTATAGGTAAAACGACTATTAGAGTAAAACCCGGTAGTTTCAAACACTCGATTATCGACGAATGATTTCTTCCAATAGGTCTATCTTTCTGTTCGTCGAGAAAAGGGCGTATCGAGACTAAGTGACCGGCTATTCCCACGGCTATTAGCGCCATGCCCGTGTAGAATAGCGCTTTCTGAGCTCGACCGACGCATTGCGGCTCGTATTTTTTACACGAACCTGTCGAGTTTGCGAGTACGGGTGGGGTCGACATGGTAACAAGCACAATACCCTGCGAAAAAAACGAGCGA